AGGCCTGCTGGTGGTCAGTTTGGTCTTGGTCACACAATTCTATTTTATATAGCCCCGGCCCCCCATCACAGTCAGGAACGATAATGTGGCCCCCAGAGAAAAAAGTTTGGTGACCCCTGGTTTACAGACTTATTGTCAAACAACAGTGATGTTCCCATCGTCCTCTTTGGTTCACCCACAACCTTTCATAAATGCGAGAGGGGTCTCTTGATAATTTGATAATGCACTGTGCAACGTGACGTTAGAGTGACGTCTTTTCTATGTAATTTTTGGACGTCCAATTTCGGTCCACTGAAGGGTTTTTTTTTTTTGTAACGCCAGGCGACGTCTTTATTCGACGTCTTTTGCACGTCTAATATTGACGTCGGTGGAACCAAATATGGTCGTTTGTGGACGTCTTTTCAACATCAAATTTAGTATCTTCTATAACTGTAAGTCTCATGATTGAAAAAGTTTTTAGAGGATGTTATCTGTACCATATATTTATATTTTTGCATTTGGCAGATGCTTTTATCCACAGTGACTTACACATTTACATTCCTGCTTTCCCTGGGAATCAAACCCATTATCTAAGCATTGCACTAGATGGCCGTTTTACAAGCGCCAACGCTCTACTGTTTGAGCTACAGCATTATAACTTTGTATGCGTCAAATACCACCTTCTGCTTGAGACAATCAAATGCATCTTAAATAGTTAAAAATAGTCTGCATTTATATGTATTAATCATGTTGATAACAACATTGTTGATATTTGATAATAAAAAATAGCAAATTAATCATGTACATTTCCGGCACCTGTAATAGACGTCCAAATGAGGTCCAAAAAAATTACCCAGTTCAACAGTCAAAATGATGAACGTCAACATGACGTTCAAATTGGGTCGTGGTTGGACGTCCAAATAGTGGACCTAGTTTGGACGTCGAATAGTTTTCCAGAATTGGTCATGGACCGACGGACCCAATATAGACATGATCTGCACGTCTATCCGACGTCCAGTGTTTAGTGGGGGGAATCCAGGTCACAACATCCCACAACTGAACATTTTGACTTGCCCTCTCGTAACTTCTGCATCATTGAGCTTTGACTACAAAATCGGAGCGAGGAATAATAACGGCGGATTGCTCGGAGTGTTGGGCCGGTAGTCAATGTCAGGGCTGCCAACTCTCACGCATTGAGCGCCACACCCCCGATTTCCCACGCTAAAGTGTCAAGCCTGCCGGCAAAATACCTGAAGGATGAGTTTATCTATAGATCAACCAGTTGAGCCACTCGTGATCGACTAGTTTTACCACAAATTAGTTAAAATATCCTCTAATATAGAGTAAACGTGCATGCAAGACAGATGTTGAGCTCCTAACGGCGCGGACGCAAAACCAGGACAGGAGTCAAAGCCAATTCCTCTCTTCTGTTATCACTCCGATTAAATCCACTACAGGTTTTCCAGTCTCACTCACAGGAAAAACTGCTCCGTGTTCAATCGATTTTAAAAGATACTCTTATGTTTTACTAGCCGTGTTTCCATCCGTTTTTCAATCGAATTATCTGAAGTTCGGTAAAAAAAACTCATGCGGATAAAGCTGGTGAAAGTGTGTTTTCATCCGACGGCTTTAAAGCGAATAAAAACCTGTACGTAATGACGTCACATGCTGTTTTGCGACCAAATTGGTATATTGAATTGATTTGAGACATTTTAAGGTGTTTCGCACTGAATCGAACAACATTCAAGCAAACTTTTGCGAACAAAGTTTTGCTAGACAAAACGGATTGCGCCATCTACCAACAAATGATCCATATTTCACAAGTTGTAGCCTAATAGTGCTTATGTGCCAGCTGATAACGACATATGTATGGGATAATGTATATGCGAGGCAGTTGTTCGCCTGAAGGGGTTGTATTCGCTATAATCGCCTCGCTATACATTATCCTGCTTATTACATGGCTACCTACCAAATAAATCAATAATTTGACACAAAATATTGATTAAAAAGGTGTTTATTGATTTAAAAACGAGTATTGCTTCTGCTAAAGAAAATGGTATGTTCCGTCTCTGAACTGCGTCCATGGCAACGGTGTGTTATACTTAGCAGTATCCATCAGCTTTTATCGCATTAGCCATATATCGATCAAGATAAAATCCGATGAGACCGAATGTATTTCATTTGAGTCGATATTCATGAAATTTAATCGAATTTTACTGTTTCCATAAGGTATTTCCATAAGGTATTTTTCATTCGATATCACTCAATTCGGATAAAAAGGTGTGGATGGAAACATGGCTACTGACTGCTCTCCCGCAAGAATTTTTTGTACATTTTAAGGTTAAATACATCAATCTTGTGCTCTTTGAGGGATCAAAATTAAGAGCTTCAACCCATGAACTGCGCGTTGAACAAATAAAAAGCATTGATTTGTACCAGGACAATAAAGAGGGCTCAAAGATCTGTTTAATTAGTCTCAGTCTACATTACATTACCAATGGTGTTTTAGGATGCCAAACAATTATTATAATAATGTAATAATGATTTATATAATTATTCCTATGACGTAAAATCCATATAGCCTATAAATGTAGGCTAAATGAAAATGAATATTTCAAAAGTATAATTTAGTCTACATTAAAATATAATATAGGAAAATTTAAATTATTTTGTCCTTATTTCTTCACTTGCAAGAAATAAACCCTTGAGCTTTTATTTAGGAGTAAACGCCAAGGTGCACACGTTTCTCTAAATCACGCAGCACAAACAGAATGCCTACTCTTAAAGTATTGTGCTGTTTTATGAAGGCAAAAAACACATCATGGTTTCGATTTTAGTTCATTGGCAAAATATAACGCTAGAGACCTTCATGTTACTGTAGTTTATACATTTTACATCTCATATGTTCGGCAAAAGGCGGATTCGAACTCGGATCAAATGCTCTGTCACGAACTACACGCTCTACGACCTACGCCACTGTAGCTGTTCCGAGACGGGTACGTTTTTTGTAAAAAGACAGACACTAAGTGCAAATATAGGCTACGCTTCGTTTTGATCAGACCCCCCTCCTCCTGAAAAGCTCCTTTCATTTATTATTTTGACTCCCCTCTGACAGAGTTTGTTTTGCTGTTAATATTCAGCTCATTTTCTGCTTATCATTAAACTTGTTATCAGTGTCAATAACATATTAAATGCAGGACTGCATTTGCCGTAAGCATCGTGAGTCCAGGTTGATCGGAAAGACCATTGGCACCAATTACGGTGCTTTTGGGAAACGCCATGGCATGAGACCAAACCAAGACAAAGGGCACGAGATCACTGTGATTTGTTAAAATAATTTTGTTTTAATTTTTTTAAAACGAGGAAATAAAAATATCGGATAAATATGAGGACGAAAAAAATAAATAAATAAATAATAAAAAAAATTATTTGTAGAGAGCTTTTCACAACACATGGTTTAAAAGCAGCGTCTACATTACAATTTAGAGTGATCTGTTATCAGATGTGACTGTGTTAAGTTATCTAGAGTAAAAGTAAAGGTATTCTGCAGAAATCCTCCTTGCATCTATTGAAAAGCTTGCCTGCTTAAAGTATTTTAATTACAAAAGTGAGCTGATCAGAACACAGAGAAGTCTTCAGACCAATTGATTGAGAGTATGAAAACTCAGATGCATAAGATTTAGGACATATTCAACTTACTTTACCCAACCTGAAAATAATCAAATTAAGGTTAAGGTGTCTAGAAATATGCACCATAAAACAAATGGTTTTGCATTAATATTACTACTGCACTACTGTTTATGTTACATTTTACCTCTGAATATGTTCAAGGTTGTTAAATTTAAACTACTTTATATACTGTTGGGTAGTTTAATGTTGAATCACACTCTAAACAAAAGCTACTAAATAGTCTAATCACACTGTCACACTCAAAGTGTACACTGCGCACAATAAAGAAGAACCACCACCACAAGGAAGTCGAACCACCACCCTGCAGTAGAAAATGACAAAAAATGAACATAGAAATGGCAATAAAGACATTACCAATAAAGCAAAAATAAGAAAAACAATAACCTAAAAGGATCAAAGAGTTGGTCTTGAGATTATCACAAAGCAATGTCCACAGCAGACGTGCACACACAAACGGGATGACATACATGGATCTCAAATCACATGCATCCAGATAACCACTTTGTTGGTTCATTACCGTTTCATATTTTCAAGCTATAGTTATCAAAAGGACCTGCATGTACTAGAGCATTTAACCAAGAGACTATCACTGTGCTGAGAAGTGCACAGACATAAACTCTTTATTAAATATTGTAATTATGGTCTTTATGGTGTTCAGCCAATCATCAACTGAACCACAGGCTTTACTCTTTAGCACAATGACCCCAAAAACTTGGAAGTGATTGGCGTTAGTTTTTCGAGTCTTCTGCCCGTTCCACGGATGATTAAATTGCTTAATTTTCATTTCAGTGCTTCTGGGTTAGGAATAGGATTCCAAGTGATTTAGAAAAAATGGTCAAAAAAGAAAATCACGTACCCCATCTTTAATTTTAACATTTGCACTCCTGTCAGAAGTCAGTCAGAAGTGAAGCATGGTGGGAACTAACTCGTTCTGTGAATGTGTGTGTGTGATCATACATTCATATTTAATTGAGAACATGTATGTGCAATATTTGTACACAAAAAAGGTTTTGTCTTAATTTATAAATACTTTATATATTCATATATAGACATACATGATCATTGCATTTTTGGAGTGTATTGGAAAATATAAGCACTAGTTTCTATTATGTAATATATTGCATTATATTTTGCAGTATATTCCCATATATTGTTGTTCTGTAAGGGTAGAGCACAATGAGGCAGTGGAAGGGGCCACTCAAATCTTGCCTAGGGTAATCGATCAGGGCCGGTCCTGGGTCAATCAGTGCAAAGTCCTGTACGAAAGGCAAACATAAAACCACATAAAAGCACATCGAATCCAAAAGAGAATCACAGATTAAGACCAAACCTTTTCTTGGTGAGTATTGCTCGTATGCTTCACATGTTTGGGTAGACGTACAGACTTTATTTAGGTAAGAAAATAGATGGTACTCATTTTTATAAAAATACTTAATTTGATGCAGACAAATGTGTTTGTGCGTCAACATTTATAGGTCTGTGCCAGAAGTGGGAATTGGTAAGCATGTGAAAATAATAATAAAAAAAGCCTAAATTACATATTTATACCTAAATATAACTTGCATAATTTGTTTTTGCACCAATTTGTATTTTAGGGTTATCTGAATTTTTTGTACAATGACTAGCTGGTAACACTTTAGTATGGGGAGCACACACAGCAAAATCAAATTCAAAATCAAAAGTTAAATTAACACTTTAAAGTGTGAATTATATAAACTCAGAGTGTTAATTGAACACTGATGCGGTGTTAAAGTTAACGAGACAATTTAGTGAATAGCTGAGTGATGATTGAGCATTATTGAAGACACCTAATGTTAACAAGCAGAATCACTGAAGGAGAAAACCGTAATGTTTAAGTCACCATTATGGAGATCAGTGTTTGGTTTAGTTGGGCTCTTGACCCTTAAATCATTAACTTTAGATTTTGTTTGGCTGCAGTACATGACATTTAATATAATCATTATTTCACAATCATTTGACCTGAATCACTGAACTCATATAGAGCCTAATGTCTGAGTTAGGTTTTCTTCATTAATTATAGTAGCAGTGACCTTGTACAGCATAATATTCATAACGTTTACAATGTATTCAAAATAATTTCTTAAAATCTTTCTTATAAAATGTTTTATTTCTCTACAATTTTAAGACACACAGACATCAATAATTAGACTGTGAATCTCAACAATGGTGACAATCATAAAGAATGTTGCATTGCATTCTGGGTGCCACCAATCAAAACTCATTCATGGCTCCCATCATGCATTGCTGTATGAATAAATAATGATCTTATGTTCAGAGGTGATCTGTTTGTCACCATTGCTGAGATTTATACACTAATTCTTGATGTCTGTGTTTTTCTATATAAAATATTTTTGTAACTATTTTTATTTTATTTTATCATTTTTCATTGAAAAGGCTAAAAATGAGCATTGAGCATCTTCTTCCGCTCATCCGGGGCCGGGTCGCGGGGGCAGCAGTCTAAGCAGAGATGCCCAGACTTCCCTCTCCCTAGACACTTCCTCCAGCTCTTCTGGGGGGATACCGAGGCGTTCCCAGGCCAGCCGGGAGACATAGTCTCTCCAGCGTGTCCTAGGTCTTCCCCGGGGCCTCCGCCCAGTGGGACGTGCCCGGAACACCTCCCCAGGAAGGCGTCCAGGAGGCATCCGGAACAGATGCCCGAGCCACCTCAGCTGACCCCTCTCGATGTGGAGGAGCAGCGGCTCTACTCTGAGCTCCTCCCGAGTGACCGAGCTTCTCACCCTATCTCTAAGGGATCGCCCAGCCACCCTGCGGAGAAAGCTCATTTCAGCCGCCTGTATCCGGGATCTTGTCCTTTCGGTCATGACCCAAAGCTCATGACCATAGGTGAGAGTAGGAACGTAGATTGACTGGTAAATCGAGAGCTTTGCCTTACGGCTCAGCTCCTTCTTCACCACAACAGATCGGTACATCGACCGCATTACTGCTGAAGCTGCACCGATCCGTCTGTCAATCTCCCGTTCCATCCTTCCCTCACTCGTGAACAAAACCCCAAGATACTTAAACTCCTCCACTTGAGGAAGGATCTCTCCACCAACCTGAAGTGGGCAAGCCACCCTTTTCCGGCTGAGGACCATGGCCTCGGATTTGGAGGTGCTTATTTTCATCCCAGCCGCTTCACACTCGGCTGCAAACCGTCCCAGTGCACGTTGAAGGTCCTGGTATGAAGGGGCCAACACGACAACATCATCCGCGAAGAGCAGAGACGAAATCGTGTGGTCGCCAAACCTGACACCCTCCGGCCCCTGGCTGCGCCTAGAAATTCTGTCCATAAAAATTATGAACAGAACCGGCGACAAAGGGCAGCCCTGCCGGAGTCCAACATGCACCGGGAAGAAGTCTGACTTACTACCGGCAATGCGAACCAAGCTCATGCTTCGGTCATACAGGGACCGGACAGCCCTTAGCAAAGGACCCCGGACCCCATATTCCCGGAGCACCCTCCACAGGCCGCCTCGGGGGACACAGTCGAATGCCTTCTCCAAATCCACAAAACACATGTGGACTGGTTGGGCAAACTCCCATGAACCCTCCAGCACCCTGTAGAGAGTATAGAGCTGGTCCAGTGTTCCACGGCCAGGACGAAAACCGCACTGTTCCTCCTGAATCCGAGGTTCCACTATCGGCCGTATTCTCCTCTCCAGTACCCTGGCATAGACTTTCCCAGGGAGGCTGAGAAGTGTGATCTCCCTGTAGTTTGAACACACCCTCCGGTCCCCCTTCTTAAAAAGAGGAACCACCACCCCGGTCTGCCATCCCAGAGGCACTGTCCCCGACCGCCACGCGATGCTGCAGAGGCGTGTCAACCAAGACAGCCCCACAGCATCCAGAGACTTAAGGTATTCGGGGCGGATCTCATCCACCCCCGGTGCTTTGCCACCGAGGAGTTTCTTGACTACCTCGGTGACCTCAGCTAGGGTGATGGACGAGTCCACCTCCGAACCCTCAGCCTCTGCTTCCTCAATGGAAGACGTGACGGCGGGATTGAGGAGGTCCTCGAAGTATTCCTTCCACCGTCCGACGACATCCCCAGTCGAGGTCAACAGCCGCCCACCCCTACTGTAAACAGCATTGGTAGGGGACTGTTTCCCCTTCCTGAGGCGCCGGACAGTTTGCCAGAATTTCTTCGAGGCCAGCCGATAGTCCTTCTCCATGGCCTCACCGAACTCCTCCCAGGCCCGAGTTTTTGCCTCCACGACCACCCGGGCCGCAGTCCGCTTGGCCTGCCGGTACCTGTCAGCTGCCTCCGGAGTCCCACGAGCCAACCAGGCCCGATAGGACTCCTTCTTCAGCTTGACGGCATCCTTTACTTCCGGTGTCCACCACCGGGTTCGAGGATTGCCGCCTCGACAGGCACCGGAGACCTTACGGCCACAGCTCCGAGCAGCCGCTTCGACAATGGAGGTGGAGAACATGGTCCACTCAGACTCAATATCTCCAGCCTCCTTCGGGATCTGGTCGTAGCTCTGCCGGAGGTGAGAGTTGAAGATCTTTCTGACAGGAGATTCGGCCAAACGTTCCCAGCAAACCCTCACAGTACGCTTGGGTCTGCCGAGTCCGTCCAGCCTCCTCCCCCGCCATCGGATCCAACTCACCACCAGGTGGTGATCAGTTGACAGCTCCGCCCCTCTCTTCACCCGAGTGTCCAAGACATACGGCCGCAGGTCAGATGAAACGACCACAAAGTCGATCATCGACCTACGGCCTAGGGTGTCCTGGTGCCACGTGCACTGGTGGACACCCTTATGCTTGAACATGGTGTTCGTTATGGACAAACTGTAACTAGCACAGAAGTCCAATAACTGAACACCACTCGGGTTCAGGTCGGGGGGGCCGTTCCTCCCAATCACGCCCCTCCAGGTGTCACTGTCGTTACCCACGTGAGCGTTGAAGTCCCCCAGTAGAACAACGGAGTCCCCAGTCGGGGCACTTTCCAGCACCCCTCCCAGAGACTCCAAGAAGGCCGGGTACTCTACACTGCCGTTCGGCCCGTAGGCACAAACGACAGTGAGAGACCTATCCCCGACCCGTAGGCGCAGAGAAACGACCCTCTCGTTCACCGGGGTAAACTCCAACACATGGCGGCTGAGCTGGGGGGCTATAAGCAAGCCCACACCAGCCCGCCGCCTCTCACCATGGGCAACTCCAGAGTGGTGAAGAGTCCATCCTCTCTCAAGGAGTGTGGCTCCAGAACCCAAGCCATGCGTAGAGGTGATTCCGACTATCTCTAGTCGGAACCTCTCAACCTCACGCACAATCTCGGGCTCCTTCCCCGCCAGTGAGGTGACGTTCCACGTCCCTAAGGCTAGATTCCGTGTCCAGGGATCGGGTCGCCGAGGTCCCTGCCTTCGACTGCCGCCCAATCCTCTCTGCACCGGCCCCTTACGGCTCCTCCTGCAGGTGGTGAGCCCACGGGAAGACAGTCCCACGTCGCTTCTTCGGGCTGAGCCCGGCCGGACCCCGTGGGGAGAGGCCCGGCCACCAGGCGCTCGCATACGAGCCCCAACCCCGGGCCTGGCTCCAGGGTGGGGCCCCGGCTGCGCCATACCGGGCGACGTCACGGTCCTTGGGTGTATTTCCTTCATAAGGGGGTTTTTGAACCGCTCTTAGTCTGACCCGTCGCCTAGGACCTGTTTGCCTTGGGAGACCCTACCAGGGGCATATAGCCCCAGACAACATAGCTCCTAGGGTCATTCGGGTACTCAAACCCCTCCACCACGTTAAGGTGGCAGTTCAAGGAGGGGCTAAAAATGGTATGTCCTAAAATGACCGTGCTGCTAAAATCCTTAACCTCCTAAGACCTGAGTTTTTCAAGACCGTTTACACGACACCATTTACATGACTCTATGTTCCACGAGACCATTTACACTTTACATGACACCGTTTACACGAGACCGTTTACACGACACCATTTACACGAGACCGTTTACACGACACCGTTTACACGACACCGTTTACACGAGACCGTTTACACGAGACCGTTTACACGACACCGTTTACACGACACCGTTTACACGACACCGTTTACACGACACCGTTTACACGACACCGTTTACACGACACCGTTTACACGACACCGTTTACACGACACCGTTTACACGACAACGTTTACATGACAACGTTTACACGCGTTTACACGAGACCGTTTACACGACACCGTTTACACAACAAAGTTTACGCGACACCGTTTACACGACACCGTTTACACGAGACCGTTTACACGAGACCGTTTACACGACACCGTTTACACGACACCGTTTACACGACAACGTTTACACGACAACGTTTACACGACACCGTTTACACGAGACCGTTTACACGACAACGTTTACACGCGTTTACACGAGACCGTTTACACGACACCGTTTACACAACAAAGTTTACGCGACACCGTTTACACGACACCGTTTACACGACACCGTTTACACGACACCGTTTACACGAGACCGTTTACACGACACCGTTTACACGACACCGTTTACACGACACCGTTTACACGACAACGTTTACACGACACCGTTTACACGACACCGTTTACATGACAACGTTTACACGACACCGTTTACACGAGACCGTTTACACGACAACGTTTACACGCGTTTACACGAGACCGTTTACACGACACCGTTTACACAACAAAGTTTACGCGACACCGTTTACACGACAAAGTTTACACGAGACCGTTTACACGACACCGTTTACACGCTATGTTACGCTTTGTGTCGCTATGTTCTGAAGCCTTACATATTAGAATACTTTTATGCAATTAAATATTAAATATGAAAATCAAGATTAAATGTGAAAAATCCTATTTTGCAGTGAAAGATCATTAGAACGTAGCACTATAACTTCAAAAGAAATGTCTTTAAATGTCATATAGGTTTTGTTTTTCATGAATGTATTTGATACAAAGGGCAATGTGTGACAGCTTTAGTGCTAGAAGTTCACTTTTATTTGTTTCCCACAAAATAATGTTTTATCACTAAATGTTTAGATTTACAATTATTGTACACTCAAGATTTTTCTAGAATAACTTTTGAGCTGTTTTTTTTTAGTTTACCTAGTTTATAATAGTATTTTCGTTTTCATTTGTTATTTTTCTTTATAATTAAGTAGCTTGTGTACACACAAAGCATGATTATAAGTTTAACACAAATGCTGTAGAAATGCTACATTGATGTGGTTGTATCGGATTGGTATCAGTATCGGCCTTGATACTCAGTAGTTTTGGTGTCGGATCAGTTCTTAAAAACTGGTGCCGGAGCATCCCTAGTTATTACAGCGTGTCAACTCCTATTTATTATTCTCCTCTTTATAGAAAGAATGGAGTATCTTCACACTTGTCTGTTTTTGGTCCTCCTCTCCTATTCAACATGGCCAAGTGTGGGGAAAACTTACTTCACTCATCTCGGAACCAAGTGTACATCAGACTGCAGCTTTGATGATGACTATTACAAGTGTTGGACTAATCGAACTGGATATGAAGAGAAATTGTACTGTTCACCAAAGGAACACTTCGACTACCAGAATAAAAAGTGCAAGGGTATATGTGAAAAGTTTGGAGCAGACTACTATTGGTGCAAAACAGGTTGGTTTTCTTGGGGATACTGTGGGATGGTGATGGAGGAGAAGACCCACTATGGATCTAAGACAGGCCTCAGGTGTAAAGACCACTGTGAGAGAACAGATAAAGGATACTTTTCATGCACTACTGCACAGGGATTGGATCACTGCTCGCCATCTAAAAACAGAGATTACAAGAACAGTCAGTGTCAGGAAGACAGTCCTTGTGGCAAATATAATCACCACTACAATTGGTGCAAGCTGAAGGAAGGACACGCGAGTTACTGTGGGCTTGTGGAAGCAAAGTCAGTGCTCCACCGCTCTATCTATCATTATACTTGCATTGATGAGTGCAGGTATGATGAGAGTTACCATTATTACTGGTGCCACACTGCCAATGGCTGGGACAAATGCTCTCCAGATGTAGATGTAACCTATAAAGGCAAGCCCTGTCGCTCAGACCACCCCTGTGACCTACATGGTGAAAGTTACAACTGGTGCTTTACCTCAGTGTCAGATTACGATTACTGTGGACCCATTGAATCGAGACACCGCGACAGGAGAGATCTAGAAGACAGAACATTGGCATGCACACTGGAGGACAAGGGTCAACCTATAATAAGTAACTTCACTGTGGTACCAGCTCCTGATGACATCACTGATGGCAGTCAATGGAGAAACGAGACAGAAACCTTAATCCGTCGCTGGGACAATAGGTACCTGGTGGACATGGCCCGTGCAAACCTGATCCACTCTGATCATCTCCGCATCGACATACAGGGCACCATCACTCGCAAAAAGCAGCTCTACTACAACCTGCAGGTGAACGTGAGACGGAGACCCGGCACCACTGTGTCTCAGATCATCGTGTCCCGAGGAATCCCAGAGTGCTACATCCGCAGAGCCTTCATGGAGAGCTTCAGGAACCGGGCTCGGGTTTATGTTGATGAAATATACTGACACATTTTAAATTCTAACTGTTTTCAAATATTACTAATTCTTCCAGATGTTCAAGTTTTAATTCAGCTCTCTTGGGTTTCCTAACCTTGCTTTGAGGGATCTTATGACAACAAACAATTAAAATATTGAAGTACAGCCTGTGAAATTCTCTAATAAATGTCTTACATCGCCTTCCCTTGATGAATTACTGTATATAGAACAAAAAGGACTGAGAAATATGAAATGTTTATGGACGATCTTTTAGTTGCCCACACTGTAAAAAATAAAATGGTAAAAAAAAAGGGTCAGCAAAGCCAAACAAATACCATAAAAATAAAGTAAAATATTCTATGCAAAAAAAATTTTGGTCCCACTTTATATTAAGTGGCTTTAAGTACTATGTACTTACATTGAAATTAATAATTTGATACAATGGACTTATTGTGTACATACATTGTACTTACATTTTAAAAACACCTGCATGTAATTACAGCTGTAATTAATTCATGTAATTACATTTGTAATTACACTGTTGACCCTACCCTTGCATCTTAACCCACCCTTAAACCGACCCATACCACCACACCTATCCCTAACCTTACCCGTATCATACCCCAATAGCAGCAAAAGTGTTTTACAATACAGCAGGAACACAATAACACTTTGTACTTATTTTTAGATGTAAGTACGTAATACTTAAAGCCACTTAATATAAAGTGGGACCAAAATTTTTTTTACAGATATTTTTCTTAAATGTTTTACAGAAAAACACATTATTATTGTTATACATTGTTATACACATTGTTATTTTACAGCTATTATCTGCATTATTACGATCAAACACTCTAACTGTAAAACAATATTCACAATACCTTCATTGTAAAAAAGTCCATTGTAAAAAACAGTTAATGACCGTCAGCAATGGCTGCCATACAAAACCCATAAAATGAATGTAAAATCGCCTAATTTAAATAAGTGCAGAAGTAGAAATCCTCATTAAGCTTTTTAACAGAAACGCAGTTATTATTTCACATATTTTCCAGAATTTTTATTAAGAAAAATGTAAGTGATGTATGATTTACTATCACTGCATCAGCAACTACACAGTGGTTGGTTTGTAAACTCATCAAAGAAATATAATACAGAGTCTCCTCACTATATATTCAACACATTCATATAATATATGGTATATAATACTGATATAATATTAAACTAAACTAAAACACACGTTTTTACAGTGTTTACCAGTCGTTTATTGCACAGTAGCCTATGTGGTATGAATTGGTTTTAGCCGCGATGCTAACGTTAATGAACTAACGTTAAAGAATAAATGGAAATCATTTACTTATTGTCTTAGATTGTTTTAGTTATTCACTTAAATGTATTCTGTACAACTGTCTTCAAATTGCTGATATAATTTATTTATAGCTAATTCCTGCTGTCGACTGTGGCTTTTTTTTATGAATAACACATGTGGATAGGCGTTAGTTTGGTCTGTTTTTTTTATTTACTACACTCTAAAAAGAGATGTGTTAAAAAACAACACACATCATGTGTTGATGGTATTTTGACACACGGTGTGTAGTTTTTTAACCCCCCCCCCCCCCCCCAAGCACCAAATCACCATCACAGCCATGTTCTCCCCCTGCAAGTCAGTTTCAATCATCTATATTAGCTGCATTTAATGCAAAACAGTCTTATCCACCCAACCACCCCACTGCAAAGCAAATAACAAACACAGGAGAAATGATTTGCCTTGACCTGATGCCCTACTCAGTAGTGGAGAATAAAGGTTTTCGTAAGCTTCTCAATGTGGTTGCACCGTCCTCGATACCAACTACCATCTCGTCGGCATTTCTCTCGCACAGTTATACCGCAACTTTACCAAGATGTAAAAACAAAAGTAAAATAAACTCTCTCAAAAATAGAAGGGAAATTTGTGCACCGCACGTCTGACATCTGGACGAGCAAATTTTCCACAATTGTAGGAAATCGTCTTTACTTTACTTATCTCTCTATAATGTGATCAGTCATGGCTGGTCCCTCGAGCGTACGATCACACCGGTGTTAGTGGAACGGTCAGTGCATCACGTGATCAATGGCTAAATTCAAATGTGCTTTCGCGCGTTGGCTAGCGCTGAGCCCGAGACTAACACACGAGTGCTGTCATATATCACAACTATTCAGTGTTTTCAACTATTTAATGTTCATTCATTCAGAAATGTAAATACACAACAACTATCAAAACAACACATTTAGAATTTGTAAAATACAAGTGGCAATAATAATAATTTCCATTATAATTAGACGACATGTTTAATTTAGATCAGATATACACATTGTGTAAATAACTTTAAACTCTATTCTACCAGTTCACAAGCCACTTAATTACTTTCATATATTTCGGGAGAAGTGGATGAATTCATGTGTTGTAAATCCAACAGATCCGCTTCTCTGAACAGTGGCACAAACTAACATGGCGGCGCCCATACATCTCAAATAACGCGATCGTTATAAAGGTGTTTAAACAACAAAACACTTCCACCACTTGCATTTATTTGTTCTGTTTGGGGTCTGTTAAAGCGCTATATAAATGCAGTCCATTTACCATATATTTGACAATAGGAAGATCAGATTTTTCATGCCATATAACACATTTCTGAATATTTAAAATAAAAAAGGAAATAAAAGCAGTTCAGCACGAAAAAGCATTTAAAAGGCATGTTTTAGCTTATGAATCCTGAAAGGAGGCAAAGAAAGATAGTGAACACGTAAACATCGGGCCATTACAGCAATATAATATTAAAATGTTGGATATTAGGCCTACAATTACAAAAATATAAACCAAGCAGCTTTATTTACCTCATATGAATTATTGTCTGCATTAACTTCTGCTCATTTCCACATTATTAAAATGTCATCCATCATTTTGAGATAAATGTAAAATTATTTAAATCCAATTTATTTAAATAAGCCGATTTAATAAGCAGACTTCCATTCACACTCTGCACTTGCCTGTGAGCGCCCCCTCATGGACAGAGAAGTACCACACAGTGCCAATTCTCCCCGTTCTCTGACCTCTCTTCATAACCACCGGACTCACGTGTTCTCGGTATCTGTAGTTTTTTAACACTTTTCACTCGTGTTTGTAGTTCTAACCGAATCCTCGTCCAGCGTGCGATGGATTGTGGATAATATCAGCCGTTAGCGTCTGCACCGATCAACACTTCGGATTCTGACCGGATATAGTAGACCATCCGGGTCTCTTTGGATCACTCATTTCAACATACTACGATTTGGGACGCACTAATTCTATTTTCGAATACTATTTACTATAGTATGCGAATTGAGACGCAGTAAGTTCAAGCTCTCTGGAGAAATGAAAAACTCACGACTCGCACAGATTAAAGGAGTAGTTCACTTTTGAAAAAACTTTTGCTGATAATTTACTCACCCCCATGTCACCCAAGATGTCCATGTCTTTCTTTCTTCAGTCGAAAAGAAATTAAGGTTTTTGATGAAAACATTCCAGCATTTTCTCCATATAATGGACTTCAATGGGAACCAAACGGTTCAAGGTCCAAAAGACCTTTTTAAAGTGAACTAGTCCTTTAACACCCATCGCTCGACTCTGCCCCTAATGGTCAGGAGTAGCATCGCACACTTCTCGTTTTTAAAAAGGAATCGCATTAAAATAAAACCCTTCTGAATGCTTCTTTTTCCAAAATAACACAATAACATATTCAAAATGAAACAAATCTGTAATATACTTAAAAAAACAATTACAAAACGTTTGTGATGGTCACAAGCACATTACACATATACATACACATCAAAATGACATGATAGTTTCAGAGATATTTCTCTTTTGCAGAGAAAAACAAAACGTTTATTTTACAAAACAAGTACAAAACAGAACATTTCGATCTCTCATTATTGATGTTAAAAATGACACCATCTTACATTTTATTCATTTAAAAAGTGATTGTCTTACATAATTTTAGCCTCAGAGTGAAATAATAATAATAATACAGATATCATTTCTCCTCATTGTAATTGCTGATGCATAAATCTGTCGGACACTATAATAGAGGAGAACGGCTGATCATGAGCTTCTAGTTTCTGTGTTTAGACTCATTCATGCCTGGAAACTTCATTAGCAATGAATTACAGATGTTTTCTAGCAAGAGGAATGAAGATAACAACATCTCAGAGGAGTTTTGATATCACATGAAGGATCTGAGCGCCGTCTGAAGGATTGAACATTCAGTCTCAGTGTTTCTGATGGAGGAAGAGACACGACTGAACATTTACTGACTTCATGATCCTGAGACTAAAGTTAAATATAACACTGATTTCCCTCTCTGCTAATGATCTTAATGAAGTTGAAGATCAAGATTCATCTGTAATGTTGAAGTTTACACCTAGAATTAGTTATAAAAGCAAATCACTATTACATGAACACCAACCCAGACAGCAAACTGACATTGAATCAACGTGGAAACGACGTCTCTCATGACATTGAAACAATGTTGATTTTGCTCATCGAATTAACGTTGAACCAACGTCAGACGCGGCATTCTTCAAAGCTAAATGAAAATCGAAAATTGGTTTGCTTTCATAACGTTGAAACAACGCGTTGATTTCAAGTTGATTTTCCGTTAGTTTTGAAAGAATGACGCGTCTGACGTTGGTTCAACGTTAATTCGATGAGCAAAACAATGTCAGATCAACGTTGTTTCGATGTCATATTTCCACGTTGATTCAATGTCAGTTTGCTATCTGGGAAAGAACAAGTGTTAAACATCCTGCATATATTTACAGCTATTCACCAAACCTAAGAAACGTCCATTAGTAAAAACGGTCTCGATAACGAATGCAGATTGAGATTGAGCTCTTAAATCCAACACAGTCTCATGAAAGTGTGTATCTAAACCATGATCTCGTGCCATTTATACACCAAAAATGTTTTTTTGTGTACATATGTGCACTGAAAACCCCTTGGGTTTAGGGGGAGGGGATGGGGAGTGTGTGTGTATTACACTATTATGCTATGATACACACGCGAAAACTGTGTATCATATAAACACAAAAACTATTTTTGCCATATAAATGGCACGAGAAATTGAGATCAGGCTGCTTAAATCACAGTCAGAAGTTTCTCAGGAGTGTTTCTCTCGGACTGATGATTA